GGTGGGGGGTGGGACGGGGTAAGAGGGAATACAGCAGAAAACAACACCCAACCCAAACAGCAAACTGCAACCCGCAAAACAACTAGAAAGAGTTCAAACACAGCAGGCCATAATGGACTCTTGTGGATAACCAACTTGGAGGGTGAGTTAAGAATTCTCTTGCTTCAAAGAAACCCCCTCTTTGCAGCCTCATGGGCAGCACCCTAACCCTTTTTTCTAACAAAAAAGATAACTCAAATTTAGGTCCCTGATCAGATTCTTCACATCCTGGAAGTAGTAACCAGCATTCAACCGGCTGAGCTTCATTGTTACTAGAAAGTCCAGAGATAAAATTACTGTTATTATTTTCAGTGACTCTCTGTCCATATTTTTCTGGAAAAAATCAAACTTTCCTTTAAAGCAAACACCAGCTTGGAGAGGCGGTGATGCTGAACAGTCCCCACATTTTGCTCCAACAAAATTTACTCCACTGTCCCTTATCGCTGTGCTAAAAGAGGCTAAGTCCTTTGCTTTTCATCTTCAGCAATCCTTGGATTAGTGGTACCTAAAAGCTTTAAAGAGACGTATTAGAATCTTCAAAAATCATCTGGTTTCTAAATTTCCATACATGCTATAAAATTGAGGTAATGGCTAAGAACAGATGCTCACCACTCTCTCTCCCTCTCTCTTTTTGTGTGCACACCAACTCACTCTACCAATTTACAAAGGAAATATTCTCATTCCACCAATCACTTTTTAGCCCAATGTTGCTGCTGAGCTAGATGCATCTAGTAGCATTACAGTGAAATGAAGCATGCATTATCGACTCATTTGTTGTTTTGCAAAGAAGGCAGATAGCGTCTCTTGTAATATTACAAGTGACAAGGTTTTTATTTAGCCCCAGGGCTTTCTGCAGCATCTCCAGAGAAACCCTTTTGTTTTTGGTTCAGATTTTGTCTTCCATAACCATTTCCATTGATTTGTGGTTAAGGAGTTTGAATTAATTTCAGTTGACTGAGGTTTTATAAGGTATAGTATTAGAACCCAGGTAGAGTCTAGTAATGCAAAGCCCAGTTGGGATGGGTCTCACAAGCAGCTCACTAAGCCCATCTTCAAGCATGTTTATACTAGAAGGCCACATCAGCTGAAATTCATGGCCATGAACCAACCTGACAGAAGAATCTCCAGGAATCTGAATCTGTTATGAAACTGTTAAGAAGTTGTTAGATCTGGATTCGAATCATATTCCATGTAAAGGCTTCCCTATATAAACTAAGGGGGCTGCCTGAAATGGGTGGACTGACTACTGAGTTGGGCAGATCCCAACAACTTGGTGTTAGAGCTTAGGTTGAGATGACTAACACTAGATGTGGAATGGTGGAACACAATGGGTTTGCATGGAGATTCATCTTCACAACTTTATCAGTGATCTGCAAGAGATTAGGACACCCTATGGTGGTGGTTCAGCTTGAAAAGGGAAACTCAACTGGGGGCAAAGATAGTGACCAGGAAGGGTCAAGTTTGGAGTTTGGACAATAGCAGGCACGGAGGAGCCATGATAGGAAGGATCACCAAGCTGGACTTTCCCATGTATTCTGGTGACTATTTCTTCTCCTTGTCTTTTGTATTTGATGGATGGGGGGTGACTTCTTGTCACCTGTTTAAGATGTATTCACCTTTTAAGCAATAAAATTTTCTTCTTTATTTATCTTCGAAAAAAGAAAAAAAGTATTCTAGTGACTATTTGGTGCCTTGGATCTTCAAGGCTTCAAGGTATTTTGAATACCATGAAACTCCTAGTCATCAAAGAGACCCCATAGCCTTGTTCTACCTAGAAGAAAAGGTGATTATGTGGTATCAATGGTTTTGCAGATCTCACCCTTAAGTTTCCTAGGTAGACTTCATTGAATCCTTCTATATCCGGTTTGGAACAACTTGATTTGACGACTACAATGAAGCCCTGTCCCAGCTCAGACAAACTGGACCCATCTAAGACTATCAGATAAAGTTCGAAAAGTTTGCTACTCGAGTTCATAGATGGCATGAGAAGGCTCTCTTGGGGTGTTTCATAGGAGGACTTAATGAGGAGTTTTTTCGAAGGTAAAATAAAATTATTAAAAGAAAAAAGACAAAAGGAAGATGACAAGAAAAATAAGCATCCCATCAATCAACCAAAACCCAACTCCAAACATTCAACTTCCAAAACAGTAACTCCAAAAGAACACACCAAACAAAGGAAAAAGAGGACTAACAAAAGCTCATAATAGACAATCCAACCCCAAAGACACCAAACCCCAAACAAAAGCTCATAATAGACAATCAAATGCTTACAACAAGAGACCGCCATGCTCCAACTTAACACAAATGTGGATACACTTGATGTACTGGAGTACTATGGTCCCTGTTGTACTATAGTCTTATTTTCTTTATTTCTTCGTTTTATCTTTCAGCCCTCTAAGGGTCCTTTTGTAATTCATTATATTTTATCTTTTAGCCCTTCAAGGGCTCCTTTGTAATTGTACATAATTAATATAGATATATGACTCGTTGGGGGTGGGGTCGATTATCACATTAGACACCCCTGAAATTTTTGGTGTCTGTTCTCTCACGAATTGGAAGATTGACATGGTATTAGAGTGGGCCATGTCTATCAGCTGCTGATTCGACTTATTTCTTGGATGATTAGAGGGTTGTTTGAGAAATATTTTGATTCCCATCGAGCTCTGTTTGAAGATTATTTGAAGGCTGTTTTGATCTGTCGAAGCTGATAGATATTTTCCAGAAAAGACTCCCAACAGGTCAGTTTTTTCTTGTTTTCTCTAAATCGGCTGATTCAATCATCCTAACACTCTAGAATTGGTGTTGCCTAGGCCTCCTTTAATTGGTTATTAACATATTTTAAAGACTGGTTTAGTTTTGGTAGGGTTTTGATCCCATCTTGTAATTGACAGTCCCAAAACTTTCCTTTTTGGGATTGACATCAATATAAACCTATTGTTCTGAGATTTTTGTAGTATAATCTCATTTTACTTAATGAAGTATTACTTAAACATTGCTTTTGAATTGTTACTGATTTAAGTTGGGTGGTTAGTCTCCGGTTATTCCTTCTTTTAGCTTTGTTTTGAGCTTTGTTAACTTGTTTTGGACAGTGGTTGTGATTTGGAGTGTCTGAGAAGGCTGATATCATTCCCGTAAAGTTCGATGGAACTAACTACAGCATGCAGAAGTTCCATTTTGACTTCTTTATTGAAGGAAAAGGTCTGGAAGGATATTTGAATGGAAAGGTTACTAAACCAGATGATACTAATACCAAGGCTATTCACAATGGAAATTGGATAATGGGAAAAATAGTTTCTTGTATACTCAACTCAATATCTCATGTTGTAGTACCCATGAGAAGAATGCGTAGTGCTTATGAGATAAATGTATGCATACTTGAGGGTGTACCATCAATTGAATATGAGTTTTTTTTGCCTATTGTCAGGGAGATTAGAAGACTCAGGAATATTATGCTGGTTACCTTGACTTGTGGGCAGAATACGAGCTTGTCCATACAGACCCTTTGTACCCTGCAGAATGTGTCAAGTACCTCCCTTGCCGTTAACTTTCTGTCACACTCTGCTCACATGTGACGTCTCATGACTGATATATATATATTTTAAAAATTCCTTAAGTACCCTTTCTCGACATCTTCCCGAAAGAGATTTTTGATCCCAATTTCTCCAAAGAACTCCGGGTACAGATTTCTCAGGAGAAAGCGATGCATTACAACGATGCGGAATCCATAACGATGCTCCCATGATTTTTGTGCGGGGTAGAGATTTATTGGCAATAAAACCCATTGCTCCGAGCACATATTTATTGGATGAGAATCATCTCCAGATTTTATTTTGCCTTGGTCATAGTTATGGAGAGGGAAGGAGGACCCGACGGGTTCCTGTTACTATAATCACTCAGGCTGGTGAGTGAGAGAGTGAACTGAGATTGACTGGCTCTGATTGAGTTTCAGTAAGTTGGTTACCATTACCAGTTCATGTTAGTGCCAAAATAACTGTAGATGGATAAGATGCACAGGCAGGGGATACATGTATATTTTGGACAAACCGGAATCAAAACTCGCCATTAGCGACACAACCCGAGTCTCTGTGCCTGTCGAGTCTAACGAACAATCCTGGTAAGAGCCTTTGGACAAATCAGATGTCCTTATTTCTTAACAATGGTTGGGTTCCTTTTTTTCCTTAAATTCAACAGCTGTATCATGACATGAAAGGATCTCACTAAGACAACCCAGATGTCCAAATTATATATAAGGTGCTGCATATTACGAAGAAGTTTGTCCAATAACACAACCCTCCGAAGGGATCCAACCTTCAGAATAAGAAACCAGAGAAGTTTCTACCAAAAAAAAAAAAAAAAAGAAACCGGAGAATAGAAGAAATAAGGGCTCTATCAGATGGAATTTGTTTCACAGCTTTTCTTGATATCACAACTTTCTTAGCGAGTACCTTTGCTGAGACCATGCCATTTCTTTTTGCAGCTTCTCTAATTGCTTTCTGTACACTTTTCTCCTTTCTCTGCAAATCTCAGATTTGGCGTTCAATGTTGCGGCACTCTTGCCTGAGTCGTCTTTGCCAATCCCTCAATTGCTGTTGTGGGTTTGGCTTGGGTTTCAATAGACTCTTCACTTTATCCATCTGTCTTCCAATCAGAAAAGGTTGATGATGGAGAAGAAGTCGAAGGAGAAGTAAGCGAATGAGGTCCATGAAGAGTTTGGTTTACCACTGCTGAAAGGAGAAGTAAGCGAATGAATCTGATTTCTGTGTTTGAGTTTGAGAAGAGGGAGCTTTGACTGATAATGAATAGGTAGCAAAGAGGCAGACCGGTTTTGGTGGAGATCGATGTCTGATGCGCTTGAGTTTGAGAAGAGGGAGCTTTTCATCAGTTGGGTTTTATTTTGAAAATTTGATGAATAGTGAAGGGCAAATTCGATATTTCATTTTTTTCCGTTAGTGTTTACGGCGTGTCAATTGTCAGAAAACTTAAGGGTACTTTAAGACAATATGTGAACAGTAAGGGTAGAGTTAGTCAATTTTGCAAACAGTAGGGGTAGTTTAAGGAAACTGCCCTTTCAATTTTCTTTTAATAATTTATTATTATTATTATTATTATTATTTTTTTTTTAAATTAAATCAGATTTGAATTCAATTCAATGTTTGTGAGATCCGATCGGATCAGATCTGCTGTTTGTAGTATCGAATCAGATACGGATATACCCTGATTCAAATCTGATCCGATCTGTTTGCGTCCCTAGTTTCAACCCCTAGAAAACTCCAACCTCTCTTCTCACACATCTAGAAGGGCTTTTGTATCATTGAAAGGTATCAACGTTACCTTATTTTTGATTTTTAATTTGTTAACAACAGAGGCTAGAATGTTGTTCCACTCTATAACCTTCTTCCCTGCATCAATAACATATCTGTTCCCAAAGCCCTTTTTCTGTCTCCAGCATGAGTTTTTGGATTTTATTTGAACTTGTCATGGTTATGTCCTTCCCAGTTTTCTTCTCCACCTGATTCTCTATTTCACCCTTGTGAGCTTCATCTTCTGTTGTTTCTTTTCCATAGCTGATACTCTCTCCTTCAACTACTGAGTATACACGTTTCCTTTCACTTTTTTCTTTGACCAGGAGAAAGAACTGTAATTTTTCTATTATCAAAAAAAACCCTGCAAATTTTCTGCTACCATCTTCCAGCGCTTACCTTCCTTACCCTCCGGGAAGCATACCATTTGTTTTTTGTTGATGCCAAAAAATTCTGAGATCACCACAAACCAGCCTTTTACATTCCTTCTTAGTTCTGCCTGGTACCTTCTTCTTGGAACCTTCATATTGCTTTCCATCCATTTTATTTGATAGAGAAACTTGCCCCATCGATAAATCCTTTGAGCCAGAGAGCAGCCTCTCCAACCAAGAAGACTGTTGATCTATTTCCTTCCCTGGTCTTTAGAGTTTGTCGGTCCCTTGCTTTTCCCTTCCTCAAACAACAATCTCTTTGCTTCAGTCACTACCTCCTCTCTCCATCTCGTCGCTGGACGGAACTCCCTTCGGTCACGATCTCCTCTCTCCATCTCCCTTACGTGAAGCAAACTAGAGTGAGTACCATCATCCATTTGCAAATGTTTATGATGTGGAAAAATAGAATACACATTTAAATGAAGTGCACACAGGCTGATATTTTCTTAGGCCTAGAAGTGGAAGGCTTCTTTGAGATGTATTGGATGGTGAGAGAGGGATCAGATGGACCCTGGTCACTGTGTTACTATATTATGGTGGATAGAGCTTCATCATCCAGAGTGAACATGCCATTCAAGTGAGTTCTGTGGTTAATTAACTCATTGGCTGATGGTCTTTTCAGGAGAGGGGTTGGGAAGAATGAGTTGTATGAGGGTCTTCTCTTCCCAAGCTTCTTGATCGACTCGGAAACTGTATTTGTGATTTGCCCTTGTGAAGTTTCACTTAGTCTTTTCCCTCCTTTGGGGAAGCGGATGATTTAACTTTCCTTTTTTTCACTCTTATTAATAACAAGTTTTCCCATTGCTAAGAAAAAAGTGCACATAAAACCAGCATTAACATGTAATTTAACTGATATTTAATACTGAACTTTTCATTATTTTTGGTATTCCATAAGTGCTGGATATTATGCCACTTCTCATAAGATACTTTCTGATAATGTTGGAAATATGGCTGCAGAATTGTTCAACTGGATGTCTATCCAAAGTTGTGTAAATTTGCTTGTGCATGTGAAGCCAAGTAATGATCGAATTGGACCATTGGTAGTTGCTGGACTTCTAACCGATTCAGATCAATCTAGAAAGTGGAAAGTGCCAGCCACCTTGCTCACCCAGGTCAGCCGTCATTTGACCTACGTTTTGTTTTGGTAGATGGATCAACATGCTGCTTGCAGATTTACATGGAGTGCTTCATCAGAAGGATTGTCCTCCCCTCCCATCAGCCATGTGCTCTCTTTTCTTTTTTGGTTGAAAACTTTACTTTCATTTTTTGTCATTATTATGTGGTTTCCTTTCCAGGAGTACCCTCCAGGTGTCAAAATTATACCTATGGGAAGTAGAACAGCAAAGCCTTTTCACACAACCAACTTGGTTGTAATTGCTCCTAATAATGTTAGTGATGGTAGTGGAAAAACAAGTTTTGCTGCTTATGGAGATGCACTGATAATGGACCCGGGATGTCAGTCTGAATTCTATGCAGAGGTATCTTTTTCTTTTTAAATCTTTGACAGGTAAAAGAATATATTGTATATTTTCGACCAGTAACAATTAAAGCAATTAATTGATTAGTGTAAAAGAATGATCTACAAATTTACAATGTAAACTGTTCTGTTTTAGGCTAGCATTCACTACCTACTGGAACATGTTTTTACATCAGGCTCCCCATGGAACCATTCCAAAAAATATATTCTCTGTTTACTCCTCTGTCCAAGGCATCAGCCGTGCTATTAGCATACCTAGGAGTTCATAAGAAGGTGACAATCAATTCTTCTGCTAATAATCTGACTTCCCCCAATAGATATCTATTTTTCCGTGTTCCTTATGATTTCTTCTTAACCAGCCGCCCACTACCTTGGAGTCCCCCTCCTCTATACTTTAGATCCCTGCCCAGCCTTAATCCTCATAGAACTGCCAGTGCCAGGAGTTCTGTCTTAGTGGAATCTCCATATCCAATAGGCCTGAGAAGAGTGTGATAACAGTACCATCATACCTTTTGAAAACTCTACAATGCTCGACCTACCTGGGTTTCCTAGGCTGCACTATCAAAATTCATCTAGATATTGGGTTGAGCCAGATGTGACTGTTGGACATTTTCCGATGTAGGACAGAATAGGGATCCAAATTTCAGATCTGGTGGTGGGTTTTGTGGGTTGGAGGGGCTTTGGGTGATAAAATGAAGAATAGGGATGGGGAATCAGGTAGACAGCTTGCTGTCCACCAAAGAATGAGTAAGAAATTAGAAAGAGAGAAGATATTTTTTTTGATGAATATAGAAAGAGAGAAGAATTCTTGCTGTTAATGTAAACAACAAAGAGATAGATCAACTTAAAAGGGTCTCAGGGAGGGGGGAAAAGAAAAAGAAGATGATTTACTAGAAGCGGGTGAGGGGGGAGGGGGAAGAAGAGAAGTTCCCAAGGAGAGAAAGAAGGTGGACATTGAAAATTTGGTGGAGAGACAGGTGGAGGTGGGCAAATCATTGGGTTTATTTTTTCTGGGAGGAGAGAGGGTAGTTAAAAAAACTATATAACAATTTGAGAGAAAGAGAAGAGAAGATCAACTAAAAAAGGTCGCTATTGAAGAGACAGGAGTGTGAGAGGAAGGGGGTCTGGTTGATGAAGAGTGAAGTTGGTAGAGTCTGAGGGGGTGGAGGTTGTGGCAAAAAATGAAGTTGACTGTGGACTGTGAGTAGAGGGCGAAGGTGAGCTGAAGCTGTGTTCCATTCGCAGTATGCTGCAACATCTGGAAGGAGAGGGGTAGAAGAATTTTGGAGGACAATACTATAATAGTTGCTATTAGCAAGTCGGCGTTTGTTTGGGATCTTGTTCATCCAGATCTCAACCACCTTGACAAGGAGGAGTTGGGGAAAACTTGGGGAAGTTTTTGGAATTCAGATATGTAATATGGAAAATTTATATCGAGTTCAGAACTTCTTTGGTGTAATTGGGTGATGCCTTGCTACTATCAGCATGCATTTTTCTTTTATTTTAATGAAAATTTCATCTTATACCTATCAAAAAAAAAAACAACAACAACAAAGAGATAGATCATTTAGAAGAAGTGAGAGAGAGCGAAAATGAGAGAAAAATTCTTGGCAACAATCATAATTTATCAAACCAAACTTTATTTCATGAAATCAATCATATCTTAATTGCAATTACAATGACTATTTCATAGACTCAACTTATGAACTCAGATGCCCTTTTGCAGACTAGAATTTGGATTAGGAAACTTACCCAAATAAGCTTCTATTTGCTTTAAAACTAAGATAAATCCCTAAGTAACCTCTAGGGACATTTAAATAAGGTCTCTTTAACTCATAAACAACTCTAATAACACTTTCCTAGTCCTGGTAAAAGTAATTTATTGTGAAGACACCTGAAATTACTAAAAATAGTAATTATGGGAATTACTATAAATAATAAGTCTGAGAGCGATATAAATAGTAATTTCAAAATAACATTAAATTTCTGGAAAGTTTAAAACCCTATTATTAGACATTTGCAAGTTGCAACTAGAAAAGAAATTAAAAAAAAAACACATACAATATCAGTGTCTTGTCACCCAAGATTTCTGAAATTAGTGTAGGAATTGGAAAATTGGTTTGTTTCTCCATGTATTCTTTCCTTGTTTCAGTGTCTGCATCACTTTCTCTTGTTCTAGTTCTGGAGTTGGCACTGACTTTCCAATTCCTAGTAATATCATTAAAAGAAGAAATGAGCAAAGGTGGGCAAGGTCTTTGACCAAACCACCTGTAGAGATAAAGAGAGCTAATGGGGGGTTATTTTTGTCTTTTTATGTTTTCTTGTACATTACATTCTTTCTATTCTTTTGTACATTATCACTTGTATATTATGAACAGAATGGTCCTTTTACCATAATAATATAAATACTAATTCTGGGGTGTCGACTGACACACTTTGACACACCCACCAAACTGTTGTCTTCTCCTATTGACTCATGAATCATGATCTGACTCTGACATGGTATCAGAGCAGGTCATGATCTGATCTGCATAAAGAAGTTTTTTTTTTTTTTTTTTTCTCTTCTGGTTCTTCTGGTATTTAGGACTCTCCCTAACAGTATTTGGGAAACCCTTTTGTGTCCTTGAATCCTTTTCATAAGGCTGTTTCGATTAGCCCTTCACAGACCTGAAATCTGGAAAGTTGCGCTACCAGCTTCACCTTTTCTCTTCGGATCTCCTCTTAGAGACATCAGATCCGCCTGAAACTCTAGATCTGGTGTCGCCTAGAGGAGTACTTGTGATCTCCTTCAGTCTGGTTTGGATCGGATCAGTGTAAGGAGGGTTTTGATCCCTCTCTTGTATTGATTGTTGACTACTACAATTTCCTTTCTGGACACTTAGCTGAAAGGTACTTGTTTCACTTTTTGATTTGAAAATTATTATCTCCTTTGGAAGTCTATACTGTTATTTGGTTGTTCCATGGCTTCGGAAAGAATGGATATCATTTCCATCAAGTTTAATGGGACAAACTATGCTTTATGGAAGTTCCATTTCCAATTCCATGTTAAGGCAAAGGGATTTTGGGGGTATTTGGATGGGACTACATCTAAACCTGATGATTCAGATACTAAGGCCCTAAAGTAATGGAAAATTGATAATGCAAAGATTGCCTTATGGATCCTTGGATCAGTTGAGGTTGATATTGCCATTCCTATGAGAGGGTATTGAACTACATATGAGATGTATCAATATCTCGAGAAGGTTTATCAACAATCAAACCTCTCTAGATAGTACTAGATTGAAATTGACATATTTTCTTATCATCAAGGTGAGAGAAAATTTCAGAAATACTATGCAAGGTTTATTAACCTTTGGACTGAGTACGAGCTAGTACACATGGGAGAAGATCCTTCAGACTGTTGTGTGAAGTTTATGAAAGCACAATTTGATAGAAGGAAGATATGCATTTTTTAATGCATCTCAGACCTAAATTTGAATTTTTGATGAATAATAATAAGTTTATTGATTCAGAAGCAAATTAGAGTGAGTTCATACATCATCCCAACGAGAGGCGCGAGCTACAGCCCCTCCT